CCCCAGAGAGATTTTGGGGGTCCCCAAAGGGTTTTTGGGGGTCCCCAGGGGGTTTGAGAAGGATTTGGGGGGACCCGGGGGAGGTTTGGGATAATTCCAGGACATTTCTGGGAATGTTTCGGGAATGTTTGGGACACCTGGGCTCCAGGTGAGCTCTCCTGGATCAGAATCCCGAGGGAAAAGTGGAATTTTGTGGGAATTGGGGGCCGGGGATTTTTGGGATAATCCCGGGATAATTCCAGGATATTTTTGGGAATATTTTTGGGAATATTTTTGGGAATATTTTTGGGAATATTTTGGGATACCTGGATGGCTGCGGTAGGCTCCAGGATGAGAATCCCAAGGGAAAAATGGAATTTTGTGGGAATTTCGGGCCGGGGATTTTTGGGATAATTCCGGGATAATTCCAGGATAATTCCAGGATATTTTTGGGAATACTTTGGGAATGTTTGGGGTACCTGGATGGCTGCGGTAGGCTCCAGGTGAGTTGTCCAGGATGAGAATCCCAAGGGAAAAATGGAATTTTGTGGGAATTTTGTGGGAATTTCGGGCCGGGGATTTTTGGGATAATTCCGGGATAATTCCAGGATATTTTTGGGAATATTTTGGGAATACTTTGGGAATGTTTGGGGTACCTGGATGGCTGCGGTAGGCTCCAGGTGAGTTGTCCAGGATGACGATGCTGGACAGGTCGCTGTGCACCACCGACAGGTCCTTGATGTAACTGCCCAGCTCCAGCGTGCAGTGCTGGGGGCGGGGCCACGTCAGGGACACGCCCACCGGAAACGGGACACGCCCATCGACCAGAGGACACGCCCACCGGAAATGGGACACGCCCACAGACCAAAGGACACACCCACCGGGTTTGGGACACGCCCACAGACCAAAAGACACGCCCACCAGAAATGGGACATGCCCACCGACCAGAGGACACGCCCACCGGAAATGGGACACGCCCATCAGGTTTGGGACACGCCCACTGACCAAAGGACACGCCCACCGGGTTTGGGACACGCCCACCGACCAAAAGACACACCCACCGGAAATGGGATACGCCCACCGGAAATGGGACACGCCCACTGGGACACCCATCACACCTGTACAGGTGTCCCTCACCTGTGTCACACCTTGCACACACCTGTCCCTCACCTGTCCAGGTGTATCTCACACACACAGCTGTATCTCACACCTGTCACACCTGTCCAGGTGTATCTCACACACACAGGTGTATCTCACACCTGTCCAGGTGTATCTCACACACACAGCTGTATCTCACACCTGTCACACCTGTCCAGGTGTATCACACCTGTCTCTCACCTGTCGGCACACAGCTGTATCTCACACCTGTCACACCTGTCCAGGTGTATCTCACACACACAGGTGTATCTCACACCTGTCCAGGTGTATCACACCTGTCTCTCACCTGTCGGTAGTACCGCCGGCCCAGGATGCAGCGGTTGTTGTCACACACCTGTATCACACCCCTCACACACACAGGTGTATCTCTCACCTGTGCAGGTGTACCTCTCACCTGTCGGTAGTACCGCCGGCCCAGGATGCAGCGGTTGTTGTCACACACCTGTCACACACCTGTCTCTCACACACACGGGTGTATCTCTCACCTGTCCAGGTGTATCACACCTGTCACACACCTGTCTCACCTGTCCAGGTGTACCTCTCACCTGTCGGTAGTACCGCCGGCCCAGGATGCAGCGGTTGTTGTCCAGCCGATCGGCCACGGCACAGCCGTAGATCTCCATGCTGGCTGTGAACACAACCAGCTCGTACCACTGGGAAACCTGGGAATGAACACCGGGAATGAACACCGGGAATGAACACCGGGAATGAACACCGGGAATAAACACCGGGAATGAACACCGGGAATGAACAACGGGAATGAACACCGGGAATAAACACCGGGAATGAACAACGGGAATGAACACCGGGAATGAACACCGGGAATGAACAACGGGAATGAACAACGGGAATGAACACCGGGAATAAACAACGGGAATGAACACCGGGAATGAACACCGGGAATGAACACCGGGAATGAACACCGGGAATGAACAACAGGAATAAACAATGGGAATAAACAATGGGAACGAACACCAGGAAAAAACAATGGGAATAAACAACAGGAATGAACAATGGGAATAAATATTGGGAATGGAAGGAAAGAACACCGGGAACGTCAGGAATGAACACTGGGAAAATCAGGAATAAACAACAGGAATAAACACCGGGAAC